ATGACAAGATCTTGAATCTGATATCAAGAAAAAAGTGCTGACTCATCACATTAGGGGCCAAAAGGGGCTAAAAGACTTTTTACGATAACCCTTGTACAGTCAATATTTTATTATACATTAATGTTGAACAAAAGATGTTCAAAATGATGTTCTGAACAATATGCAACCTTTCATTTTTCGCTAAACGTCCCCATTAAGGAGTTGAAGGGTTGGCCCCTAAATATTTCTTTTGCGAATAACTCGAAAACGAAAAAGAATCTCTGAATAGTTGTTGAACAAAAAGTGCTCAAAATCCTAAGAGCTTTAAGATGAAATCCAGAAAAAGGGGCTAGACACACAAATTAGGGGCCAAGAGGGGCTAAAAGTCTTTTTTTGATAACTCTTTAACAGTCAATAATTTGTAATACATTACTGAAGCAAAAATGTTTATTTCAACAATCTACAACTGTATATTATGATTTTAAAGTCGTACATTACATAATTAGGGGCCACAAGGGGCCAGAAGGCAAAATCTTTGACGCTTTGTATCTCAAAAGTGAGAAATATTTTGATAAGTAATATTGAACAAAAGATGTTCAAAATCATGTTCTGAAGAATATGCAACCTTTCATTTTTCGCTAAACGTCCCCATTAAGGAGTTGAAGGGTTGGCCCCTAAATATTTCTTTTGCGAATAACTCGAAAACGAAAAAGAATCTCTGAATAGTTGTTGAACAAAAAGTGCTCAAAATCCTAAGAGCTTTAAGATGAAATCCAGAAAAAGGGGCTGGACACACAAATTAGGGGCCAATAGGGGCAACGAGATCGTATCTAGTTCTTATTATTCTTTTTTTTGTTTTCTTCCTAGACGCCAACTTTGAGGCCTCATATCTCACTCAATTCTCAATGGATTTTGCTCAAATTTTAAGACATTATAGACGGTAATAAACTCTATCAGAATGCTGTAGATAATTTCAAAAAGTCACTTCCGGTTTTGAGTTATTTCCCTTTAAACGAAAAATTATAGGCTTTCATTTCCAGACAAAGGCTCAGAGACCACTAGAGCTGGAGCAGAAATTTTACTGGTTTTAGATAACAGAAGGATTGAAGTTGTGCATATCGGTTTTTGTTTTTCGATTTCTCCATTCAAAATGGCGCTATTTAGGGGTCAAATATTAGAACGCCTTAAAGAGCGAAAATTTACACATGTTTTCCTTTTTATCTTGAAAACTAAAAATATTTTGTTAAGACATGTTGAACAAAAGTTGTGAATAAATGCAAGGGCTTTCATATCATACTATTCAAAAGGGGCTGGCCCCTATGATTAGGGATTTAGGGAGCTTGAAAGCTTTTGCTTTATAACTCAAAAACGGTAAATATTTCGATCTGGATTATACGAACAAAATTGTTCTTTGACACCTTTTTAATCTGATGAAAATGTTTTGTGTTCGATTATACCGGGGGTATTGCGTAATATGTAGTTGAAAGCAGGCCAGGTAAACAGGTAGCGTTTTTCATTCGGAAAGGAAATCAGATCTCTTCATGTGTATAATTTACATAAACTTCCTATCAGTAATAAATCCTATGGTATTTAATTTTAATTTTCTTCTAAATAGGGCATTATACGTGCTTTACGGTTCAGTATTAAATTATTTATAACGATTAGTCTTTCTTTTTTATTTATTATTAATTAGTTTTAAAGTGAACACGTCTTCATCAACGGAATATATTAAATCTATCTTTCTACATTGATTATTATAACAATTATAAGTTATTTTAACTCTATGCATCGAATAATTCACGATCATTAGTTGTATACATTTGGCGATCTCTAAGATCGCCTAGATGTTTGTAACAGTTATGTAATCCAACACCCGAATCCCACGCTGTCGATCGAGGTCACTAGTGTACATGTACCAGCCACCTGCCGTAAACAATGCAAGTGTCTGTGATCGTGTTTAAAATCCATTGTGTACAAAGACCTATCAATTTATAGAAAATCATGTTTTTAATTTATCGAATCAATAAGAATACTTCACCGATCTTTCATTTAATCGTAATTCGAAACACTGATGCATAAATCATTTTGAATTGTGATCGCTTTCTTCGGCCTGTTCACGCAAAATTATTTCTCTATTCCATGTTAATGTATTTTATTTAAATTGTAATTGAAAAGGGGCTTCGGCAAATAATTATAATTAGTGATGGAAGTCTTGTGATACGTAATGTACTATTATGTACCTTTTATTTTTACCATCACTCTTTTGTTTCTCCATTATTATTTTTTTATATTAATAAACATTGAACGTTAAAAAAATACTTTAAAATATACTATTATTCACGTATTTGTAATAAACAGTTTACATCCAGCTTTGTCGCTTTGTGTCTAAAATTTTGTAGCCCAGTCCTCATTTACAAGCACGTGTCCGCAGATAGCAGCGGGTATGTCGATTTGAATATCAGTTGTGTACTCCGATAGTTACAAATGGAAAATTGGGTTTGAAATCATCATGATCATGTCGACTCCTTTCATATCATTCAATTTCACTCTATTTCAGCTTGTTTTAATCAATCGTAATCGCTTGTGCATTTATTCATTTCAAGTTTAATGCTTTTTGATAGCCGGAAAAAAAAAAAACACAAGCTAGGTTTACACCATTTTTCCCTGTATTTATCGAAGTGGTAATTGTTTTATGAATCTTAAACTATATGTACACATGCATGATAATTGTAAGTGGATTTAACGTTTCTAATTCACAGGGGGAAATCCAACATGAAATTAAGCACTTTTGAGTTTGCAGTTATTTGCTACTAAACTTAAAATGATATTGTACAGAATGGTATACTATTTCGTCCAATAAACAGAATATTTTATATGCCTGTACATGTACAGTGTCAGTACGAATTTAATTGATGCAAAGCATCAAATTGGCTGCAAAGCAAAAAAAATTCTTTCACATGCAGGAAAGCACGTCAAGATATTCAAAGCTGAAATAGTTTTTCAATTCTATTTCAGGCTGTTTTCAAAGGAAAATAAAAAATAATTTTACCGCATTTGCTCATAAATAGATTTATCAATGTTAAAAAAAATCATGTTCATTGATGTATAAGAAGAATTTATTGTCATCAAAATGAAGGTGTAGGCCTGTCCGAGCCTCGATACCCTGGATCTTGATTACGTGATAATGCTCATGGTTTCTGCAGAGCAGGCCATGCTGCAAACCGCAGTGCAAAATTGAAAAAAAAAGTATCTTCATGATCTTTGTGTCATTTGTAGATGTAGAGCAAATTCAAAACATTTTTTACTAAAAGTTGAAAAACTCCTCAGTTTTTTATTCACCATGCACTTTAACTACATCATCATTATCCGGAAAATCAAGAGATTTCTTTTCAAATCTTACACACTCTCAGGCTGGGGAGTATCTGATGTAAACTCTTTTTATATGACCATAAATTATCGATGATCATGAGATATTAATGACAATGAAATTGAAATATATTTCAACATTTAATATTAAGTTTAAGCAAGTTTTTAAAATATTTTACGCATGATTTTTACTTGTTATAATTTACGAATTATTTTATTGAAGTAATAAAAAAACGTCTCATTTCCCCATGTGCACTCTCTAACACAATCACATAAAGATTGGCCGCTACCGCAGCCGATAATAATTACATGTTTTATATGTATGAACTTTTACATAGAAGAGCAGCTAAACATATACATCCAGAGCTTTCAGAATAAGATTTTACAAAATTAGAAAATTCGTTATTGCCTATTTATCATAAAATATAAATTAAATTCTTTCCTTAATTATTGAATTCCTATGTATTTAACTAGGTACTTAAATTATCGATTCGCTCTGATATTTGGTTGTATAATGATTACAATGTATATAAACGTCTATCTGGTCAGTCATTGTTGCTTGACGACGTCTTGTTTTCTCCTCTCACATTGGTAGCGCGTATGAACAGCGGTATGAACACAAACTTGTAAACAAAATAAACGGCAATACACAAAAAAGGAAAACCAGAAGAAAAAAAGTGTCTGTGTAGGTGAAAAACACAACTCATTAATTTGTTTTTGAACGACCCCATACGTTTTTTTCTTTCTCCCATGCATTTCGACTATACGGAAAAACGATCACTAGAACCTTTGGTTATATTAAAAGAAAGGTGTTGGACCTTCAAACGGCACTATATCCGAACAGCTATTATACAGCCTATCAAATATATCACGGCGTCAATAAAAGAATTATTTAGATATTTCAAAAAATACTAATTTCATTCTAAGAAAAGCCACGCAGCTGTATACAGACATTCCAAAATAATGTTTCATGGACCGACAGGTTGTTAAATTCCTCTCATCACTATAAGTACCCCATCCCTTAAAATGAATACAATGTCTTCCAATCTAATTAAAATTAGATCTTCCATCCGCTCCCCGATTTTTTTATATGTCGCAAGGAAGATCTAACGACATTCCATAAAGGGTCGCGTCAGAGCGACCTTTGCATAAACCAATCAAATTGCGACTTACGCGGATCTGTAACCGATGATGTAATGTTACCGGAACAGATGTGGCATTGAAAATGCCCGAGAGGTATCAAATGTTTAACAAAAAATGGCGGCGCCCATGACACCCCGGAGGGTGTACTTGCAAAGGAATATTTGCGTTATTTGTTTTTTTGCTTTGAAACGAGAGAGACAGACTCGTTAGGAAATGTTGAGATTAAAACGCGTTTTAATCTGAAATTGAAATTAACAGACGATCGACTGCAAAACATTGCAAAAGTCTTAGGGTCTCTGGAGAACTTCGACGTTGGACAAAAAGGTATATGTATTAAGTGTAACAGATCTGTAGAAAGGACTTTACGACTTGGAGCGGAAGTTCGAGAATTAACAGAACAGATACAAAACCACTTTAGCAGAACCCAGGAAAGACTTACAGTGGCGTTACGATCACAGGGTATAATTACGAAACGTTTGGCAAGTAGTCCAGCGTTAGTCCAGCCGAAGAAAATGACTAAGTTTCCAAGTGTTCAAGTTGTTGTTCCCGTTGAAATCAGGCCTTTCAGGGATATAACTTCAACATTTACAACACGAAGTTCACAAAGACAAGAAACGGAGCAACAACCAAATCTTGCTAAACCAGTAAGAAGAAGTTTATCCAAGGACTTAAACGTCTCGGCACAAATTGATTCAACCGAAATATATAGAATAGTAGAGGTAAGTAACAACATTATTAATCACCGTTCAAACACTTCAAACAGGTAACAGCTGAAATTGTAACAGAATTTCCAATGGCAGAGCAGTGTACAGTAAAACTATATTGGATTTTCCAAAACAACCTGCCTTAATTCCTAATGTTTATAGAAAACCCCCAAACATAGCATTGTATAAAAACATGTGATCTTTGTACCAATACATCACGTATTAATTTCTAATATATATAAAATACATGGTTACTGTCTCGAAATATAAGCGATATTTGGGCGAGGGTAAGAAAACGTGATAGAGGGCGAGGCTTGCCCAGCCCTCTTACGTTTTCGACCCGAGCCCAAATATCGCTTATATTTCAAGACAGTTATCATGTATTTTGTTTATCCTGCAACAAAATTTTACATTTGAACGTCCAAAACAAGCTATTTCCGACAGATTTAGGCACATCTCTGCAGTTGAAACCATGGCGTAAACATTGCAGTATACGTGACGTCACAATGCTTTTAGAACGTCAGAATAGATGCATGAGGCTTTATTAGGGCAGTGACCGAATAAAGCTTTGGTTTATTACGCTACCTTTATTAGGTCAATGCAAGGGGTAGTTGCAGGATAAACTTTAATGTACCAGTATTTAATGGGAAGTGTAAAAATAAGACAAATTCTTTTTTGAACACAATTTATCTAATAAAGTTTTAAATAACATCTTTAGTGGAAGACCACATTTTTCCGAGTAGATATCACCATTAAATGAACTGAATATTACTATGTACATTTTAGGAGAGAATAACTGACAAAGCTGAAAATAATTATAAAAATGGAGAGGTTGAGGTATAAAGTGTTTTTTATAAGAAATTGAGTTGAAGTTAATTAATTAAGGTTAACCTTTTACAAAGTTCACAAATAGTTGGTCAACTATTCTCACATCACATAAAAATATTTGGGGAAATGTTATAGTGATTTGATTATAATGACCCCTTGAACTGTTGATTGATATTTCTAACACATTCCAATAAATTTATGAATTTGTCACATATGCATGTTTCATTGGCACAGGTATGCCATAATTGAATTGGTCTCTAGTATATATTGCTTTATTGTTGTCTTCAAATTTAAATCAAAATGTGAAAATTAAATCATAATTCATAAAAGTACATGTTTGCAGCAAATACAATTAAATATGAGCATTTTAAAAAAGATCTAAAAGATAGTTCATCTACTTGAATCAGGATATTATAAAAATTTATATTTCAAGCACTAAAGCAAACCCATACATTTACATTTATTTTTTCAAAGATAATTGAACACCTGATTTATTATTATTTGTTTGTTTGTTTGTTTTGGCATGAAATTTTAGTTCTGTTCTTTATCTTTTTCTTTGTTTTGTTGACAGATATCAACACTGTAGAATGAGCCTCAGTATGTATATTTATCTAAAATTGAAGGAATTCTGCTTAAATATTTATTAAGAAAAGGATTACTAGTATAGTCTATAATTGATGTAAGATACAATTAATAGCTAAAGAATAAGCAAAATTTGTAAAATTATTTTTAATTTCTTTCATTTATTTTTTTCTAAAGGTATATGTGCATTACCCGAGTGGAACAAAGACAGCCCTTATTACATCAGAAGTTCAAAAAACTATTTGCAAAGTAATAGTGAGAGGGAATAATGCTGAAAGGACCATTGTAAATAACCTCTGCTCATCTCATCCGGAAGTGGTTACAGATGAAGTCGCAAAAATAGTTACGAAAGAGGCACATGCTCTTTGTAAGAGGGGTTCAGGGTCTATTCTTCAAAGTAAAGACTTTCAAGATATCTTTCAGTTTAAGTGGGAGAGATTGAAAGAAGAACTTAAAATAAGGTGTCCTACAATTCTTGCATTACTATCTGCTGTGGTTAGTGATAAGGAGCTCTCCAGTGACAGCAAAGGATTCATCCACATCATGGTATCTGTTGCCATTGCACTGCATGGAAGAAATCAGGAAATGTCTCTTTTCCAGTATATGATAGCACTTGTGTTAACTCATGGTGGATGCATCCAGAGGGTATGCTTACTTTTGATTACATGTTACACATTGCATATACCATGTATATATACAATCTAGATTCACTTACAAAAAAAAAAGAAAAAAAGAAATGAAGCAAAAGTAAACCTTTCTGATTTAAAATTAGGTTTTCAAAAAACTTTATCTCAGGAACATTAATTGTATAGTTTATCAACTTAATATCAGTTCTTTTTAAATAATAGATTTAAGTTATTCAGTTTATCTCGTGGAGTCCCAGTGGGGCTATTATAAGAGTTAAAGGTTTTACTTTTTATGTTGCTATATATTTTTGATAATATTTACAAGAATAATAATTGTACAATGTGTCACATTCCAGTGTACATGTAGTGTAATTCACCAGGGTTAAAGGCATGATACTTGATTACATGTATGTATTGTTTTTGTAGGATATTGAACGATTGTCAAATATTGGATTATGTGTTCATCCCAAGTCCATCCATAGGAAGTTAAAAACTTGGAAGGACTTAGTAGATTTAAAAGTGAAAGAATTGCGAGACTCTTGGGTGGATAGCGGGAATGTGAAATACCAATTAGTGGGGGACAACTGGGATAAGAATGTATTACCATCGTACAGGACCTCAGACAGAGGAACTCTGTCCTACCATCTCTTCAATATCATTGTGGTACAAGATAGAGTCCCATCTTTACCAGAACTTCAGAAAACAGAGGAAAGAGTCTTGACACAAGCTGGTGAATTTCTGCCCTCGGTTGATGACCAAAAACAATTGATGAAAGAATTGACATTCTTATTTTCAACGTCCATCATTGAGCATAATCCTCAGCTTCAAAGATTATTTAACTCTATTTATCCAACGCATTTGGATCATCAATACAGTCATTTTTCTGGAATTAAGACATTCCAAGTAAATATTTTAGTAACTATACATTCCTTATATAACTTTTATTCAGTTCTTAGCATATCATTAAAGAAAATGAGTAATAATCACATTAAATGACTTTGTTAATGTATGAATAGCCATAGGTTTGGGTTTTTTTTTCACTCATTGACTCTTTGTTTCAGTACCCACTTGGATTATTTGATTGTAATGAAAACAAGACCCAAGAACTCATTGCTCTTCTTAAGAAACTTTCTAATGACTACATACCATACAAGGATGGAAACATTGTTGAGCCAGTGTTTTTTGGGGGTATTTCTTTTTTTTAATCATTTACTGTAATTTAAAAAAAAATCAATATAAAAAACATAATTAATGAACAATATTTATTATGATGAATGAAGACCTACATGTATTTTCACAAGTTATAAAAATGATTTCATGACAAAAGTTTAAACTTATATAACATGCAGTGAACATTGATTGTATGGAAATAAATCTTTTAGGAGACAGACTAACAGCCCAATCAGCCCAAAATGCCATGAAAAATGGTGGTACAACAAAAGAAAAGTTAGAAGGATTTATTTCCAAGATAGAAGACTTCCATAGATTGATGAATTTCCTGGAGGTAATTGTTTAAATTGATTTTCATTACAACTTAGTCTCATTATTTTTCATGTCAGTGACTTTGGATAAGTTAAGTAAGTAAACTACAGATTAGAAAAAGGTCAGTTTTATGATAATAAAAACTCTTTCAACATCTCTATGTACAGCTCTCAGTCAACACTACAAGCACAACATTTTCTGAAACACTGAACAAATTCACTATGTATTTTCATTATAACATGCTGCTATCAGATACTTTATTAACTTGACTAATATCAAATACTCAATGCAACATATATGTTATAGGCCATAGCTAAGCTGACTTTTAACACAAACAGTGGAAAAGATGCTGGAACCATCTATTACTACAGAAATCTGCTGAACCGTAGAGATGTGAAAGGTGAAGTTAAGAACTCGTATCGCCCTTATAAGATCCTTTTCTACACTGTATTTGATGCCATTTGTCAGCTGCTTTTGCTTCATCATTTTGACCTGACTGATGTTGATTCTAACATCCCATTTCCTGCGGAATTCCTGGAGTTTTCAGACAAAGAGAAAGTGGAATGGTTGAACCAGGTGTCATGTGAAATTTTACAGACATGGTTCTTTGAAAATCAGGATGACATTTGTAAGGAGTTGAGGGAAGTCTTGGATGATCCACAACACTCGGAAAACTATTGGTTGTCTGAAATGCTAGAAAATGAACGCTTGAAATGTCACTTTTGTGAAGCAACATATGCATGTGTGGGTTCTCTCCAATGCCATGAACAGAAGAAGCACAATGTTCAAATCCCTACAAAAAAGCCAAGATCTAAAGTGAAGAACAGTGATCAGCTCCAGGATTACATTGTCATGTTATTCAAACTTGTCATTCTTCACAAGAACTTGGACACGGCTGTAGACATGGGAGATGGCGAGCGTTCCGTCAGGTCAGCCAAATATGAATTGCCTCTTTACAACAAGACAAACAAAGTAAAATACCTGATAGGTTCTGTTCATCTTACGGCTTTAACATCAAATAATGGAATTCTCTCAGAAGAACAAAAACAAAGACTAGTTACCAACAGATTTGTTAATGTTCAAGGTGGAAAAAATAACAACATTGCCCTTGATGAGTACCTTGAAATGTTGAATCGTGATAGTAAAGTAATTTGCACAGGAAATCAGACAAAGGACAGCATCATTCTTCATTCCAAGGAATATCCACATTTAGTAGAATTTGTGAAACATTTTGATGAAATTGCAAATGTTCGTGAGAAGAAGGGTTTCCATCATCTACCTTCCTACCAGAGTGATGTCAAAAAAGTCTTGCAAGATTTAATGCAAAATGATATTCTTGCCTATGACCCAAACAGGAAACTTCACTGTCAAAAATTTGTCATTGACAGAAATCCATTTGTGAACTCATTTAAGAAACTCCCGTTAATGATTTATCGGCATAGACCAACTTCACCATTTTGTCGACTCAGGAATAAGTAAGCATTCATATTGTAAATTAATGCACATAATAAACATTTGCATGGGAAAGTTGTATAAAATTTTCAAGAAATTCAAGCAAGTGTATGTCTATTTTGCCTATTGTGCTATTGCTATTGTGCATTGTATATGGTCCGTGGTCTTTGGGAAGTTAGGATGTTATTGCACCACGCTCATAGTTTTTCAGCAACTATAATCTTGATTTGTTAGGTCTTATTTTGTGAATGAACTTTTCATAGAAGATTGTACCAGAACATGTTTAGCAAATAGGTCCTTGGTTTATTAGGTCTTCCAGTGTACTGTGTGTTTGAAATTGATGCTTAAGCCTCTGAATGACTTGATTTGGACCAATTCTATAGTTCACAACTACTACTGAGATATTTAATTATACATGTTTATTTGAACTTCAATATATTGAATAAATCGTGTGTACTGGATAGTCACTTTAATGTATTAAAATGATGTAAATGTCAATAAAACAATTACCAGGTATGCTTTTTTCAGGATGACACGAGATGAAAAGTTCAATGTCTGACAAAAAAAGTCACAGTTTTAATCAAGGTCCCACACCCCTTAAAGTATATTAATAATATACATACTTAATATAATTCTACTGACAAAGTGTAGATGTTAGAATTTAATCACTCTCACATATTTTGGATAACAATACTGCCCTCTTCTCCCCATTTGAATGTACTTTTTATTTATCAGACATTGATCTTCTAATCTTTTCTCTTACAAGCAAGTACTACAACAAAATTTCTAGATCACTGGAAACATATTTTTATTCGATACATCAGTTAACATAATTCAACACAAATTCAAGTCTAGTGTGTCATCAAAATAATCATCTAAACTTTCAGAGGAATCCACTGATTGACTATTGTCTGAATTGGAAATTAAACTCTGATCAAATAGTTTTTCCAAAGAGAGATATTCACAATTGCCACAACTACAAATTTTGTCACACACATCACAGCATGTATGTTTACCAGTTTCCTTTTTAAGTTCATTTAAATCGGTTTCACTCAAAAAGTGTTTCATAATGGTCATTCTTCTACAAGTATCTGAACACAGATCTTTCATGGTTTTGCTAAGCTTGCGTAGATGATAAGTATTAAATAAAATAAGGGCAACTGATGGATCTCCACTTCTACCAATGCGCCCTATTTCTTGCACTAAATCTACCAAGTTTTCAGGTAATCCAAACAGAATTACATTGCTGCAGTTGGACACATCAATACCCATCCCTAAAGCACTAGTACAAATAATTACTCTTGTATTTGATGTGTCATTTCTATCACTTAAACAATTTACAATTTCAGTTTTTTTGGTAAGAGGTGTTTCAGAGTGAAACATTTCAATATGGGAGTGACTTGAACTGTCCAACTCTTTTATCAGATAAGTGTAAAGTTTTGATACATCATTAATACTAGTACAGTATAATAAAGTCTTGGGGAATTCAATTAACAATTGCTTGATTCCATCCACCATCCAGGACATGGCTATTTCAATGTCACTGGGTATTTTAAATGCAGAATATTTGATGTTGCTTTTATTTGGAGACATAACTATTTGCACTGTGTTTGGACCTAAAGACAACTCTTTTGCAACTCTTTTCTGAATTTTAACTGTGGAAGTAGCACTCAGTGCAACAACACTTGCTTTAGGAAACAATGATCTTAATTCTCCAATGTGGGAAAACCACTTCCTAAATGCTTGTTTCTTCAAACCAGTTTGGTCTTCACCCCTACAAATAAAATACTTATGTTATCTAACTGGTACATGAAGTTTAGTATATATATTTTTTTACTTTTGGGATAATATAAGTATTGTGGCACATTGGCGTTGGAAGCAAATTCAAAGCGAGGGGGGCTAGGTGTAAAAATTTTTTTTTATATACCTTTCAAAAACCTGACAAGCAAAAACAAAACAAAAAAAAGAACCGAAAATGAAAATGTCAATTTCACAAACACGAAAATCCTATTTTTTTTTTTTGGGGGGGGGGGGGAATACGAACTTCAGTACCAAATTTATTTTCTATAAACCTCCTTTTTCCCATTTTTACCTATACTACCATGTGTATGTGGAAAGTGGGGGGGGGGGGGGGCTAAACCCACGAAGCAATGTTCAATATCTATACTAAGTATATGTTTGGAAAAAAAAGTGGGGGGGCTAAGTCTATACTAAGTATATATTTGGAAAAAAAGTGGGGGGGGGGGGGGGCTAAGCCCCCCTCCCTAGCCCCCCCCCCCCCGGTTCCAACGCCTATGTGGCACATTACTGCTGTTCAACATGTTCAATGGGTATACAAAAATTACCATGTTGCAATTGTATGAAATTCGTCGATTACTAAGGTGTGTACATTTAATTTCTTCATATCTTCCCTCCAGGCTGCATTACTTATCAGAGATTCTGGAGATGCATAAATGAGGTCTATTTCACCGTTTAATATCTGCCTGTCACTTTCTTCACTTGAACCTGAGAGAAAAAAGAAGATAAATCTGTAGAGTATCCAGTAAAATGACCGATGTTAAAAGAACTTTACAACATATCATTTTAAATGATTATTTTTCATCGTATGTCTCCAAATCATGTGTATTTTCAAGTCGAGACATACTTTGATCATTTTATCATTACACCAATAATCGCTCTCAAAACGTTACATTCGTCAAATCATAACAGAAGCCCCTTACCTTTATACGCTACTGAAAGATTTATATCGGGCACAGCTGATACTTTTTTTTACTTGGTCTTGCATAAGAGCAACCAAAGGACAACAAACTATTATCACACCGCTGAATCCAGGGTTCGTCTCACGCATAAGAGGTATAAATATTTGGAAAGGTAGCGATTTACCAAAACCCGTTGGCAGAATCGCCATACAGTCTTTTCCTTCAATCATAGCATTTAATATGCTTTGTTGTTCTTTTTTTAAAGTACAGACACCGAAATGATGTAAAATTTTGTACAAGGCTTGAACGTCCGCCATTTTTCAACTGATATCGAATACTTTATGTAAGAATAGCCACGATTGGTTGTTATGAACGCATTTGATTGGTCGACCCTACGTCACCAAAGTTCATTCTGACATGACCCTTGATGGGATGTCTTCAGATCTTTGTACAGCGACTATCAGAATTTCATAGCGTAACAAAGATCTGATTATAATCAGATTGAATGTCTTCCTTCTAAGCAGAGAATGTCAGTCGGTTGATTCGTTTTTGTACATGCATATATACATGTAGTTTAGGGGTTGAATTCGGAGACTGAAAGTTACGACCTATTTTTATGTAAACCAACAATCATACATGACATGTAATGCCCTGCCATGAATATGGCCAAGGCATTTGGTGTTTGTCGGACGTCTTCCATCCTTCCTACTTTCTGTCCTTCCTTCTCTCCTTCTGTCACACTTTGCCTTTAGCTCAGTTCAAAGCTCAGTTTCAAACAAACTATCCAAGATATTTTATCAATCTTTATATACTAATAGTAACTAATTAGAGTTATGCAATTGCATTAACATTTTTTTAAACTTGACTTTATATACATGTATATGCCTCACTTTTCTTAAATTAGTGTTTAGCTCAGTTTTAAACATACCATTCAAAATGGTGTTATCAAACTTTACATGTTGATGCATACTGATGAGAGCTATTTAATGGCATCACCATTTTTGAACTTGGCCTTTCTTTTGACCTTGACCTAACTCTATTTATCTCAATTTTAGCTCTAACGAGAGTTAGTTATTGCTTAGCACAAGGTCATTTGGAAAGATCAAGGTCACACGCACTAGTATTCCTTTACAGTCTTTTTCCTAGCGAAACATTGTAAGTTGCTTCTCTTACAAGGTTTTTTACTTGTATATCTTTAGTATGTGGCTTTTGACCTCGACTCAAGGTTACGTCTTCTAGTTCGTAGCCCCAACGGAAGACCTATTCGTTGCTTTGCAACGAGCTCGGCTCTAGTTTATAGTAAGTTTGTTTTGGTTTACACGCATGAGGAGCTCGCGTTTACGTGCTGAGTGAAAAGAATTACCTGTACATATACGGGTCATGCATCTAGCTCATTTAAAACAATACTCGAACAAAACAATTTCATGAGATAATAAGATGTTAAAGCAAAACTTCATAATCGACAGTCATTCCGAAATATTTACCGTTTTCGAGTCATAAAGCAAAAACTTTCAAGGGCCCTAGATCCCTAATTTTAGGGGCCAGCCCCTTTTAAATGATATTAAATGAAAGCTCGTGCAATTACGCGCAACTTTTATTCAACATGTCTTAACAAAATATTTTTAGTTTTCAAGATAAAAAGGAAAATATCTGTTAATTTTCGCTCTTTTACGCGTTCTAATTTTTGACCCCTATAAAGCGCCATTTTGAATACAGAAATCGAAAAACAAAAACCGATGTGCACAACTTCAATCCTTCTGTTATCTAAAACCAGTAAAATTTCTGCTCCAGCTTTTGTGGTCTCTGAGCCTTTGTCTGGAAATGAAAGCCTATAATTTTTCGTTTAAAGGGAAATAACTCATAAGCGGAAGTAAATTTTTAAAATGTTAGACAGTATTCTGATAGAGTTTATTACCGTCTATCATGTCTGAAAATTTGAGCAAAATCCATTGAGAAATGAGTGAGATATGAGGCCTCAAAGTTGGCGTCTAGGAAGAAAAAAAAAAGAATAATAAGAATAATCTTAATCATCAGAATCAGTAGAAGGTCTTCCGTTGGAAACGAAAGACCTTAAAAATCTTAAGATTACTATTAGAGCACCCCTTTCCGGCAAGCTCGGATAAACACTTCGATTGTAAAACTGGTTGTTAAATTTTATACAAAATGGAGTCGCGTTCTGTCAATTAAATCCTTGGAGAGATGGAGTTGTAAATCTTAACTGTAGTAAAATTAATGTATCATCTTCACATCCAATGAATTTAAAGTGTGATTTTTTTTTAAAGGGGGAGGGGGGGGTATGACCCCGACCGTAAAACATTTAGAGTATGTTTTACCGCTCAGGTCTTAAAAGTTGCAATTAAAGGGAAAAAATAAACCTCCTTAGGTATTAAATTCCTTTGCCAGAAATGTTTTCTTATATTTCAGCTGTAAATTCATATTTAAATTTCTCACTTTGCATATCATGCCACTCATGGATTTATAGGGGACCAGGACCCCTCTCCTTTTTGTGACCAAAATATAAATTAGATTCAATTAATAAATCAATTTCTTGCGTGACTGAGGGCACCTACTCCGAGCTTACTGCTCTCCTTTTCAAGATTCCTGGATTCGCCAATGCATGCATAATCTGAATGTCAAAACTAGCTTCTTTTTCTTTACTGATACACGTATGTCTACTTACTAGTAGTCTTTTTCCCTTCAACCTATTTTAGAACAATATTTTTTGTTTATAAATAAGCATTCTTACAAAATTATTTGAACAAAACGTTTGACAGATTCTAGTTAGTACATCTATCACAATATGTATTTCATTGACCATCGCGTGTACATGTGCAAGTTCTGAGGGGCGCATGATTCATGAATATGTCATATTTTACGATAATTTTTTATTGTATATGACTTTTATATCATGAATAATGCTTTTTATGTCTGATTTATATCGAATCAAGGTTATTTGCTTGACATTTATTTTCCGTTTTCCGTTCCGTACCGCTTTCCGTTCTGTTTTTCGTTCCGCGTTTTAGCAACACCCGACCTTTCAGTAGTATTTCAATAGAGAAATTTACATAATTCCCTTACAAAAAAATACTATAGTTAACTATAGTTTACTATAGTTACTATAGTGATAACTTTGACACTTTGAAAACTTTGATTTACTATAGTGATAACTTTGACACTTTGAAAAACTTTGACGAAAACTTTGACACTTTGAAAAACTTTAACGAAAACTTTGACACTTTGAAAAACTTTGGCGAAAACTTTGACACTTTGAAAAACTTTGGCGAAAACTTTGACACTTTGAAAAACTTTGACGAAAACTTTGACACTTCGAAAATTTTGACGAAAACTATGACACTTCCAAAAACTTTATCGTAAACTTTGATACCTTGAAAAAATTTATCGAAAACTTTGACACTTTGAAAAAATCAAAAACTTTAATACTTAGAAAAACTTTATTGAAAACTATGACACTTCAAAAAACTTTATCGAAAACTTTTATACCTTAAAAATCTTTATCGAAAACTTTTACACTTTGAAAAACTTCATCGAAAACTTTGACACTTTGAAACCAGAAGTCTCTGTCGAGACTGAAGCTCTACTGGTTTGTACTTATAATAAAGAAAGAGAAAAGTAGCAGTTCGGATATAAAACTTTACAAAAGCAATAAACAGAATAAAGACAAAAACCGATACACAAATTTATGTATCTTAGTGTAGTCTACTTGTGTGCCAAGTTATATTGAAATCAGACCAAAACTGTAGGAGGAGTAGCATTTTAAATGTATTTCAAAGAAATTTCTTTTTCAAGTTACAACAGGGACGTAGCATCCGGGGGGGCCAGGGGGGGCCTGGCCCCCCCACTTTTTTCCCCAGCATAACCTTTACTATAGTAAATGTTCATTGATGGGATGGTTGGCCCCCCCACTTTAGAACCATAGTATAGTGATAGCAAGGAATGTAAGGAAAAGATTTGAAGTAATAGTAAGTTGGCTTCGAAAAAGTTTGCCACTCCCCCCCTCCCCCCCCCCCCCCCCCACGAAATAGGATTTTCGAGTTTGGGCAATTTTCGTTTTTTTTTTTTTTTTTTTTTGCTTGTCAACTTTTTCAGGTAAGTAAAAAAAAAATTTTCTCAGGTTGGCCCCCCCACTTTCAAAAACGATGCTACGTGCCTGAACAACAGCAACACCATTCATTGAAACAAAAACCTATACACAGAATTATGTATCATAGGGTAGTCTACTTGTGTGCCAAGTTATATTGAAATCAGACCAAAACTGTAGGAGGAGTAGCATTTTGAATGTTTTTCACAGAAAATTCTATTTTTAGTAACAACGGCACCGTTCTTTGAAATCAAATACCAATACACAGAATTATGTATCTTAGTGTGGTCTACTTGTGTGCCAAGTAATAATAAAATCAGACCAAAACTGTAGGAGGAGTAGCATTTTGAAAGTATTTTTTTTTAATTTTATTTTTAGTAACAATGGCAACACCGTTCATCGAAATCAAAAACCGATATACAGAATTATGTATCTTTGTGTAGTCTACTTGTGTGCCAAGTTATATTAAAATCAGATTAAAACTGTAGGAGGGGTAGCATTTTAATGATTTTCACAATTTTTTCTATTTTTAGTAACAACAGCAACACCGTTCATCGAAATCAAAAACCGATAAACAGAATTATGTATCTCAGTGTAGTCTACTTGTGTGCCAAGTTATATTGAAATCAAACCAAAACTGTAGGAAGCGTGGCATTTTAAAAGAATTTCATAAAATTTCTATTTTTAGTAACCATGACAACACTGTTCATCAAAAGCAAAAACCAATATACTGAATTATGTATCTTTGTGTAGTCTACTTGTGTGCCAAGTAATATTGAAATCAGATTAAAACTGCAGGAGGAGTAGCATTTTGAATGATTTTCACCAAAATTTCTATTTTTAGTAACAACGGCAACACCGTTCATAGAAATCAAAAACCGATACACAGAATTATGTATCTTAGTGTAGTCTACTTGTGTGCCATGTTATATTAAAATCTGACCAAAACTGTAGGAGGAGTAGCATTTTGAATGATTTTCACAAAAATTTTATTTTTAGTAATGTAACGTGCAAGGGAGGTCACTGCCTGTGAACCCCCGCAGGCTCGTACCCGTGATAAAAACGGATAGCCTTGAGATGCTGCAAATATATACAATGCGCAGTCTTAATCACTTGGTACTGCGTTATATAAGGTCTTTACTGATAGCGAACAAGTGACACTGGCATGGAAGCCCACACACCAGCGCACTTCCACAAGAGACAAGCAGGGATGACCGC